CTCCTCGCATATTCTGCTATGCCAATAACAAGTCGGAGCTTCGGTGATCCAAACGCGAGATGGCGTTGATCCAAAAAAATTTTCAATGTCTAACTTATCGACCAAATATGTTTCCTTTGTAATTTATTATATTTTACAGGACTTGAAGAAGACGCAGCGGTAATTTAAAAACGTTCATAAATATTTGCTAAAAATATCGTAAAAAAAGTCTATAATGCAAATATTTCCATATCGTTGATTATAAATTACGCTTACGAATTATAACAATCTTTTGCATATGTAATAATTTTATATATATATTCATAAATGTTAAAATAACTTAATTAATATACGCCATCAACTCGATATTTTCAATGTTTAATTCTTTTTTTAGAATATACAATAAAATTTCCAATTTTAAAATTTTCATGAAATATTTACGTGATTTTATTACGTGTCAACAATAAGTTATTAAAATGTAGAATCCTGCTTCGATGTGAAATTTTTTACATCGAAACACGTAGGAAAAAAAAGAATAGGTATGGATATTTTTTTTTTTTTTTTTTCCTTGAACACAGGAATCTTACCTGACACACATGTTCGACACAATGTTTAACGTAAGCTGAGAAAAACGCAGCACGTGTCGCATCGAGGAAATTTTATGTGCAATGTTGGAACAAGGATGACACTCGTCTTTGTTTGAAATGCGCATCGTGTTCAATGTACTTTGCACAAAGATTTCAAATAACGCGTATCATCAGCAACGAGAATTATTACTCGATTCATTTTCATCTTTCTTGAGAACAAAGATTGAAAATATAATGATGATGATTTAAATTTCAACGAATTCATATCACGATAAAACATAGAAACGTAGAATAAAGATGAAAATTGATCGTGTTTTGGATGCAACGAATTACTTATTAACCAAATAACTTATTTACTTCACGATGCAAATAAACTTTTATCTCATTTTCAATTTTTACTTTAGAGTAGAGATAAACGTTCTTAGAAATTCATGTTCACATAAGAAGAACAAATAAAATCGCACGTTCTTAATATGACACGGTAGTGCACGATTAATCGGTAACGATATTTCTCATTTATTTCTTACCGAGATTCTTCACGTATTATAATAAGTTCTCTTATTATAATACTTATAGATTTAATTATGCGCGCCGTGACACAAAATAGACACGTTTGGTAAACATACACGTTGAAAAGTAGTGGTGTCGTAAGACGAATTGGCACGCGGATCGTTTCTCCGTTTATACGACATTTACGAAATTCGAGGTAAATATCAGTCACGTATTCGGTGTCGATACGAATTTTTCGCGTCTCGTCGAAGCAAAAATAAATAGCTCGATCGATAAAAAGATTCAAATGGGATTCGTGGACATAATCGACGAGAATGTTTGATCCGTCGATCACGTCGATGTTCATGGGAAAATGGGATGGGAAGAATAGAAGCACAGTCAGATCGAAGAAACGAGCGGTCACCTGCAACTTTTACGAGGAACGACATTGCCGTGGCGTCGTTATCAATAATGCGCCGAGACCGCTGCCTTTTCCGTCCACTCTATTTATGGCGGAAAATCTATAACGGAGCAGAGGACGCGGACGCGTCGGGTTATTGACGTTGAAACGTTCTCTCGTACGAACGAAAACGTTACGTAAAGCGGTAGAGGTAGATGTAAAGCGCGTGGGCGAGCTTGGTACGGCGACGATCGTTTTCCCGTCTCGAGAACGTCTCATCGTGCGTCGATCGATGAGCACGTGTCATCCATCGCGCTCCATAATTCCAACCTTTTTCTTTTACCGCGATACTTTCCACAGACGCTATCTACAGACGTGAGACGTCTATATCGCGGGGTAACTCATTTGCGAATTTTCGCTATTGGAACGAAGTCGCGCGAATGTGAAAGCGACGTTCGAGGGAATGAAACTCGTCGCGGGAAATTCGTTTTCGCGAAGGAACGGTATGCGTGCGTGACTCGCGACAAGAATTCTCGACACTGTTTACGCGACCGTCGAAATTACGAAATTATTAGGATCAGGAGGAATTTTGAAATCGTATTTAACGGAACGCGTTGAGAATAGAGAGAGGCAGTCGGTATAATAGTTTTTTTCTGTTTTCAGTTTGGATGCTAGATCTTGCAAGGACGAGATATACAGGATGGGAATAGGCGGTGGATATTGCGAAGGGAACTTGAACTTTGCTACGGCCTCGGAGGACGACGAGGTTTACACGAAGAAGAAAGTTTCCAGGGTAAGTTTTCGCAACGCTGTCGACGCGTTCAATTTGCAATTCCCATTGGGAAATAGAAGGGGAAAGGAAAGAAGCGGCGGTAAAATTCGAGGATATCATCGGTATTTGGGGCAACAGCGCGGAGAAAGGTTTTCCGTGTGGTCGAATCGAATCGAATCGAATCGACTCGATGATGCAACGTCGGTTTACAGTCGATGACAGTCACGTTTCTCGAAAACGAGGATTGCGACACGCCGACCGGTCGAAATTGGATTCGATAACGACGAGTCTACAAACGTCTAGGATCTCGAATTTTCCATAAATCGAACGCGAAGTGGATCATTGAGAATCCGTGATAAGAAAAAACATGGCACGAGCACGGTTACGTGCCTCGAGGAATGCACCTGTTAAAAGTCGTTGACGAATTATTCGGATCGCTGACATCGCGACATATGGTTGACACATGTCGCGAATTTACGAGTCGTTTCCTTCTCGCCTCGGCAATTTCCATTAATAAATAATCGACACGTAAAAATTTTGACTCGAGCGTGGACGAATGGTTGGACGATGCGCGTTCTTTGCGCGGAGAGTTGGCAATTTTATTCGCCGGTCGACGTTCCTAACGATCCCTGCGCTTCTAAGAAAAGCGTCGTACATATATATATATATATATATATTTTGCGCGGCTCGTGTAGCGAAGTTTGAAAACGACTCGCGACACGACGACAGGCCTCGATCCGTTCTCGTTCAACATTGGTATTTATAGCTCGTTCTCTTTCTCTCTCTCTTTCTTTTCCGTCCGGGATGCCTCCGTTCCTTGGCTGCAATTTTTTTTTCCTTTCGACTTTTGTTTAAATAGAGACTCGACGTCGAAGGTTGCATTCCGCATTTTATATCGAGACGCGGTGCGAAAGAATGGAAAGCGACGAAGGGAGCGTTGCTCTTCGGTCGGAGACGATCGGTATACGGGGAGGGAGAGTGGAAAGGCATATTTGTCCGGATGAAGAATCGGCGGATGAAAGCGAGGTGGGTGGGCGAGAGGGAAGAGGGGCGATCTCGGACCTCGTTCCGAATTAATATTTTTGTTCACGCGACGAACACGCGACACGGTCGTGAGACGATGCACGTATACGCGTGTGTAGCGTGTAGCGTTCATTCCGTAATTGCATCGGATCACGTGCAACGCGCACGTTCGAATTCGTGGCGTGGCGTGTCTGGGCGGAACGCCGCTTTTGGCAATGGCCGCCCTCCGGTTATTAGCGCAACGTGGCGCGGTTATTAGTCGCGTCGAGACGGCGAGATCGTTCAAGCCGGGTTGCACAATTGCTTTTGCCTGCGTCGCGTCGGATGCACTCGCGTCCTTCCAACCAAGCACGAGTGACTCGGATTCACGTGTTGTTGCCGCCGCTTTCCGGAGAAACCGACCGCGCTCCATCGCGTTTTCCATCTTTGTCGCGTATCGCTTATCGAACTCGCGCGCGAGGATAAGATTTTTTAAGTATTCGCGGGGATTCAAGATATAGCGGACGATGGAAAAAGGCCAAGAGGGAAGATTCGTTCCCGCGTATTTTTCGGAAAATTTCCGTCGATTAAAATTGAAATCGAAAAACGGGATTTTCGTAACGGGACGAAAGGAAAAAGAAGAAACGTGCCATCTCTCTCGATCTATCCTACCATTTTTACGTAAATCCACGATGAATCGATCGGTTATGCGCGATAACAACCCGTTATAATCGTTGGAAACGACGCGATTACCGAATCGATTACAACCGTATTAGCCAACCGTAGCAATAATCGAGACCTCGTCTATTTTTACAAATTTGACCGTAACGACGGCGCCGTTTCATCAGCGATTCGAAATTACCTCGCTTATCCTGGTTGCTAACTCGAGGAAAGATTCCGAGTTTAACAAAGATTCTCCGTTCTCTTGTCGGAGAAAGTAGAAGTAAAAGGAAAAAAAAATGGACGGATCTATTGCCAAAACGAATTGGAACATTTATATTTATATATTTATATAAACCGCTATTTATAGGAATCTAGTGTCTATTCAAAAATCGGGGGGGGAATAAAAAATTTCTCTTTTCTACGATTTCGTAATTTTTTTTTTTTTTTAAAGCGAGACGAGGCATCTTCTCGCGATCGCGTTAACCGAACTCGACGACGGAGATCACGGGGATTCGGCTTGCAAATGAATGGGCGCAGTTTACCGATTCACTAGAGGGAGGGGGGGGAAGAAATGGCCGCTTTCGGTTTTCACGCGCGCTTCGACCAATCGATTCTGAAAAGTTGGGAATTTCAAGTGGGCCGCTTTCATCGGTGCGCCCGTTTTATGTTAATGCGCCGGTTACATTAGAATTTCAAGAGCGGCGGAAGGATTCGGTGACCCCTTTGATTTTCACGCGCGATAACTTTCCAATTTCTCGTCCCGTTCCGTTCGATCCAACCGAGCCGAACTTGCGCGCTTACGTGCCACCGGTCGAATCGATTGCGACGACGGTGGTTAATTAAATTTCCCTCGAAAATCGAACGATCGATTGCGAAAGCGGGGATACGATTAACGGATAACGTAAGCTCGCGCTTATTTTAGCGGAGAGAACTTAAAAATAATTTATTTCGCGCTCGAGCAAGCAACGTCTTTCCTATTCTTGACTCGATTCTATGGATCGACGCAGAATCGTCTCTCTGTATCTTCGAAATCGTCGCGATTGCCAATTCGGGTTGTCGCGTCGAATCTCGGGTAAAAATCTCTCCGACTCTTTATCTTCGGTTACGCAACAAATTTCGTTTTCAGTCTCTGATCGCGTAATCTCGATCAATTTCTCGCCAATTGATCGTTGAAAACATCGATGGAATACCTGGCGAAATCCATCGCCCTTCTCGTTTTGAGAAAAAATCGTATCTTCTCTTTTTACCTTCACTAGTCCCGCGACCAGATATTACGAGAATTGTCCGGATTAAAAATTCGTTCGAGTTGGCTCGATTGAAATACAACTTGGAGGAAATAATACGATTTTTTCCGAGTCTCGAATCGAATCCGTTAAATAATTTGTAAGAATGTGTTTGCTTTATAAAGTATGGATATTTGTAATTTGCAAGTTCGAATATCGAATGTTATGATAATTTTGAATTTTTTAACTTGCTTTTTATATTATATTCGTTATTATTATATAAAAACATCTATCCAAAATTAGAAAATCTAAAAAATATGCAACATTTTTTTTAAAAATATCTCTTAAAGAATTTAAAAAAAAAAAATGGTAACGTAAATACGACTTCGAGAAGATTATCCAATAAAACTTATCGTTCTTATCGTCAGGTGCAAGAATATTCTATATGTTTCTTTTACGAAATTCCTCGAAATATTATCATTTATATGTGTTTTTTATTCTGATCGAATTGATTAACATCTCGATTAATCGAGATTGTAATAAGAAACATGGTGATTATTACCTTGCCGATATAAAGATACGTAATTATTTTTATTCGAAAATTCGTGATATATGATTTTCGATTTTTATTTTTTAATCGTCTAATCAAAATATTAAATACGAATCGAATAACCATTGATTCGTTTATTACCTTTATTACCTTTATTACACATTTTCGAAGTCATGGACGTATTTACCAAACACAAGATATTCGAGTATGATACGAAAGATAAGGTACTAATGGATAAGTTATTTTTCGATGTTTTTTTTTTTATCGAGAATTGTAATTTTCCATAATAGTTTCTTATCTAGTAATAGATTTTTTTAACGTTGAAAATAATGACAATTATAATAGAATTGAAAATTGAAAAAAATTATTAAATAAAAATTAAAAAAATCTCTCTCGATTCTTTGTATTTCGTCGATCAAAGTGTCAATTATAATGATCGAATTTGAAATTATCTTATCTCTCGTTGCAATTATCACAATCTAATATGTACGATTGAATTCAAGAAATCAGGAATGTATATAAAATCTCCGTAATGATAATCGTGAGTGAAACTTGAACACGTCGAATATTTCTACGAAATTTCGTTCACGCGCGATTCCCTTCGCTTCTTATTCTCCTACGCACGACGTGTCACGGATGTGCTCGATGGCACGAACGTGATTTTCACACCATCCCAACGATTCATGCGGGGAAATACCTGACTGAATTCTCGGTCATGGCTCCGGCAATGAGTCAGGGTCTCGATACAGCTTCTACGTCATCGGATGTTACTGCAGGCCAATAACGATCTCTAAACGCGTATCGTGCACGCAACGTGCTTCAACTTTGCTGCTTTTTTTATAAGAGAAATATATAATATCTCGAACGGTTTGCATGCTATTAACATATTAAATGTTTACCACGAATGTTTTTTTTTTTCCTCCATCGATGTATGTTTTTTCGCTTTATAAGTATTTTCTTTTTTCTATAACGGAAAGAGTCTGAAGTTTACTTTGAGTTTTTATGCCGTCTGGAATTCTTCAGTATTCTTTTGAGCATAAAAAGACAATATTTGATATATTAATTTTCATTTTTTTTTTTTTTTTTTTTTTACTTTTACTTTGTTTCTTAAACCGCTCGTCATTGATCGATAACGATGAACGATTGAAAACGTAATTGCCAACTTGGAAAGTACGAGGACGTGATTTTTGGCATAGTTTTGCCGACGGGAACACGGCTTTTAAAACTTTCTAAAGCTCGTAAAATCGATTAGCTGTTAATAATTTACACAATTCGAAAACTAAAACGTGTAACTTGAGACGTTTCATGAAAGATAAAACGTTTCAGTCTAATTTAAAACCTGTACAATGTCAACTCGACTATTTTTTTTTTTTTTTTTTTTTTTTTTTTTTTTTTTTTTTTTTATTTTATTACTTAAATTTCTTTTGAGTAGATATACGTGTCGCTTAAGATTCGACGTGTAATTAAATACGTAACAAATATATTTATTTTCAGCGTAGAATAACTTAGAAAGTTAGAAAGGAATAATCAAGGATTAATCGCGATTTAATCATATACTGATTATAGTTAATGTATCGTTTATAACTACATTTTTTTCTCCTATTTTATTTTACACACGAAACGTTCTTCTTTTAGTAATTTTTCCGTTTTGTCGTTCGATTTACACGCGACAATCGAAATAATTCAAGTCACGCGCCGTTCGTAGCTTTCGAAATTCCGCGCGGAGTAAATACACGTGTCGCTTGATTCGTTATGTTTCGAAGGAAACCAACCTGTGGCTGTATACGAAATATACGAAGCTGTATTCGTTTTTCGATGGTATTTTAATATATCGGTGATTTTATAAAAAATCATCGTTCGTAAAATGGAATAACATGGATGAAAAATGATTGTGTTAGACGCACGGGAAAAACGCTTATGATGATTATCGATGACCCAAATAATAATTGCAATGGCATAGAAACGATGTACATCAAGTTATTCCTGTTCCGTAAGAGCACCGACCTCCCTCGCCGTGTCCAAGTTATAATCGTGACACAGAATTGCCAATAATGTACAATGCTCGTACACCGCGATAAAAAAATCATCATCGATGTTTCCAAGTATTCCAGTTTCGCTTCAAGTTTGAAATATCCTTTCCTTCTGCTTCATATTTGATCAAGGAAAGTATAAATTAAGCGAATTTGACAACGCTTTTGATCTAATAAACTTTTAAATTTACGTTCGAATCGAATTTGCTCGAGTCATGTTAAATATCTAACATCGAACGATAACTTATTTCTTAAAGATAAAATAGCACGATTGAATAAAACGATCGTACGACGCTCGTTGTATAGGGATATATACGTGTATGTATCTGTCTGTATGTATATAATAGTTAGAGGCCGAGTTACGTTCGACTATAAGCGAGATCACCGCAAAATAACCTTACGTATCGTGTAATTTCATAGCTTTAAAAATAGTCAACTGGATTAAAAAAAAATCGCGAAATTACGATTATAAATTATTAAATTACAAACGAATTTCCCTTTGAAGTTGAATGGGATAAAATCTTTGTACGATTTAATTTAAATATAGAAAGATACGTATTATCTCTTCTCTTGATTCGTCATTAGCACGTGTTGTACGTTGCATGTTCATTGATTTATCCGGCACGTGATGCCATCTAGTCACCGACTAGTTGGCAATTTCCTATTATTTTAATCGAATTTATCTATATTCCGAATAGAATATATTCCGAAGAGAAACGATGAAAGTAAAATTATAAAGACGAGTAATTTTTTTCCGTGTTTATTATCGCTTTTAACATATAAGTCATAAACGTTAAAAAAATTATTATTCTTTATGAAAGATTATTTTTATATTCTATCTTATTCGTTTATTTTAATCGTCAAATAAATAATCACATTTTCGTCATTTCAATCGTACACAAATACATACATAGAAACACACGCTAACGATTCATTCAT